CCCCCCGCCCCTCCCATTTTTTTACCCGCGTCGCGACGTAAAAAAAAAAAGAAAGAAACGCTAAGCTGTGTGCCCGGCTACGATAAACGCGACGCGTCGTAATCGGGGAAACGCTCGCGTGCCGATTTACTTCGATCGTTGCCAAGATGAAACACAACCGAGCTCGGGGTCACGTTTTCGAGAGTCGATCGAAATCACCGCTCGTCATTTTCATTTCGCACGCCACGTTATCGATTCCGTACACCGATTCTGCAATTTCCGAAGTTGAAATTGCAACTGCAATTATCGTGGTAATTGTGAGCGAGTGAAAAGTGCTGTAAAAAGGATTTATTATTTAATTCGTCAGCGTAGCTGTGTACTGAAAAAGAAAGGAAGCAAGTGGCCAGAAGGGTCACCAAATGATTACATTACAAACCGAGAATGAAATGCCTTTCTCTAGTTTCGTAACGCTGATTCACTGAATTAAGTCGAACATAAAACTGAAAAAAGAAATTTTTTGAAAATTGAAAATTCCCGAAACTGTGGCAGACAAATAATAATCCGTATTTAAATATTCGCAACACTAACTACGTGACTCCAGTGATCGTATTGATGATTGCTATTGATAACCATCTCTTTTACAGCTTTTCTTAGCTGCCTTGCAGATGATTCCACGATTTCAGTGGAAAGAGTTTGGGCAGTTTATAAACGCAACACTACATAAAAATGCAATTGAAACAATCGCGATGGAAAATATCGCAACGCTAATTCTTAAAGTGAATTCAATAGACTGATATATTTGTCTGAAGGGAAAACTACCCCAATTATTCGCGATAGTCACAAATCGCAACACTAGTCAATATTTTTTAAATTCAATATTAAATAAAATATAAAAGCAAAGGAATTCCAACACTATCTATTCTCTGAAAATTTACAATTTATAATAAAAAATGCTAAGAACAATCACGACATCATCGCAACTCTAATTCACAACACGAAATCTTGATGACTTCGCAACTCTAATTGTAATTAATTTCTGGAAACTAAAAAAAAAAAAAAACCGCGGTTTGCCCAATATGATGATGACAAGAAAATATTATATTACATACTACAATTACTAAAAGTGAGCATAGTGACAAAGTAGTAACAAGAATGACTTCCCATCGAGAGGATGGCAAGCCATTAGTTGCCCTCTTCTATGGCAATTTGCCGGGCCTCTTCGGCTTAAAGCCTCTTCTTTCTTCGGCGGTCCTGCCAGGCTGAAACTTAAATCTAGGCTCGAGTCTTCCTAATCGTAAACCAATAAATCACTCATAAAGTTGAAATGAAAAGATAAACCGCGATAGTTGACCCCAATACACATAAACGACCATCGATCATAGTGATCGTTGTTCGTTCGCGTATGCGTGCTCGAGCAACACCTACATAAACGTTCGTTTCGAGATCTACTCGCGACCTATCCGCGACCGCGACCGCGATACTAAATTCGAAAAATCGCAGAGTAAAACCAGAAACAAGTGGCATGCTCAACTTGTACCAATTTCACTGTCGGTTTTTCAAATTGGATTTCCTGAAACAGGTTGGACACGCGAAAAGGGGACACGCGACCAGAGACTGTGCCAACCTGCCCGGCCCTACCTACTTATAATTATACACAGACACACCAGAAAGTATGCTACCTGTCCTACACCTGTCGTGCTATATTTAAAAAATGGCAAAAGGCATGCATACCAACACACTCGCTCCACGGTTCTCACACATACACTCGGGCGCGACCTAAACTAGGGAGGATGTCCCGGGACACCTCCGACACCCGAGTGCCGCACACAACATTCACACTCTAATTTACGTACCACTTTCCTGAAATCAACTGATGATGGCTAGCGACCATTGCGTAAAATGTGATAAAAGTGATATGTATTTCTATTTTAATTAAATACGTTTCAATTTCAATTTTAACTAAATATTCATAATCGTGTTGTTACAGTTATACTGTATTTAACAGTATATATTGTGACTGTACTGATTGTAAAATTTATTCATTTTATAAAATTATATTACTTGACAGATAATAGCAAAAACGACGCATTTCCACAGCCTAACCACACACACACACAATGTAAAGAATACGTCGTGCACAATACACTAACGCATCATCAGTCGCTAAAAAATTATTGAGCTTACAAACTATGATCGTCATGCCCACTGTCTTTCTCCCACCCAAGTAGCACCTGGGCACGTGAGTGAGGTTCTGACAATAAACATGGAAAGGATTAAACCTGAAAATCCTAAACTAAAAAAATAATTAGTACATTTGTTTTGTGTCTAACGGACAAATATTCTTTGATATTAAAATTTAATGCAATGTAATAATATTTAATTTATATAAATACTTTAATATTTAATTTATAATTCAGATTCTCAAGATGAAAAAGTAATTGGCAACAAGAAAAAAATTTATTTAATAATTGACTCTGAGTTATTAATACAAATAACCTCAGACGATTCCATTATCAAAGCATATCTTTAAAAGCATAAAAGTAGTGTTCAAAATTTATTGCTTTGATTACAAAATCTGTCTGTCGCGAATTGTTTTCTTGCACCTAAAATTTCATTCATTTTTCACACGAAAAGAGAGAAGTTTCAATATATATTTTTATATTTTGAATTGTATACGAGTTTATAATATGACAAATCAAACAATTAAATCATTTAAAACATTCCTATGAAATATGATAAAAAATAAAATTAAAAATTATTCATAAATATATTATCATTGTCATTATACAATGATTGCAATTTTTATTACAACGAAATCAGAGGTTATCTGATTTCTTCACTACATCTTGTTCAACTAAAATCATTTCAATATTTATACTTTATACATATTTGATGTTTGCTAACATCCATTTGAAACATATTTTAATTTCAATAGTAACTACATACGATTGTTAAAAATTACAATTTCAACCAATTATCAATAATATATCGTTTTTACTAGTTATTAACATCATATTAATATCATTAACATAAAATTTTAATTAACAATATGTTAGAAATATAAAAAACGCGATGTGCAAGAAAACCTATCCTGAACTAATAAATAAAACACAGAATAAAGTGTTACTACTCACGGGTATAATAAATACCCGCGGTCACTATGCTCGTAAAAGAATCTACGTAATATACAACCAGTCACCCGTGCCGATACGGATCTTTCATCCTACGACATGATTGAATGACCAGAGGAACCAGAAATGCATGCGACTCACTATTAAGAACGTTATGATGAAATCATCGTCAAGTCCAAAGAAATCATCGTGGAAAAAGCGAAGGCTGAAAGCATAAAATATTGTAATTTCTTCTGAAAGATAATACTAATTAATATTAAAATTACTATTTAACTTAAAATCTTAATATTAATACCTACTCAATTCAAGAATAAAAATTTTCAATCAGATTCTGTTTTTTAATTATCTTTTTAATAATTAAAGCAAAATATAAAGAAAAAATTAATCGAAATCCCTTCCCGAAAAAAAGTCTACTTCCATTAAAATAACTCGAATGTTACCTTACCTCCATATTGAATTTATCGTTAGTTTTAATGGCGTCCTTTTGAATTTCATGGCGTCCTCGCCCTCTCTTTAACGCTTCAAAGTTTCCTTCGCAATCTGCCAATAATCTTTAAAAGAAAAAAAACTTTCAGATGAATGTATAATAGAGGCAAATTATATGGAAATGAAACAATAATCGAGGTGAAACACCGTTTTAAAAATTCGCAATACGAGCTATCAGCGAACGTAATAAAAAAAAAAAACGGTCAAAAGAGGAAAAGATAATTTGCCGATAAATTAAAATAATATTTGAAAAACTATTAAACAAGAACTTACGTTAGTTGAACGAAGTCAAGTAACGTGACTATGAAAAATGGCGTCGAAAGTATTACACAGTTAATAAATGTCACACGGAGTCATACATCTTATCACAACGATTTTCGACAATAGACTAACCCCCCCGCGCAACAGGTTCGCGTCCTCACCTAATTCGGCGAGGTGGGGGCGCGAGCGTGCACGAATAGAATTCGGCTGATTTATTAAAAAAATAAACCATTCTATGAGAATGTTTTGAAAAGCAAGAATATATATCGTATGTGTTTAGACATGAATATTTAACGTGATGAAATTTTATCTGATAGAATAAGAATTGACTAAATTGATGAATATAAACATAATTAGAGACGATGTGTTTCTTAACACGCAACATACTGACAAGATATTTCACGCACACGATTCCTTAAAAGAATTGTTATAACCGTAGATGTTATGACTGCATAATTATTAGTGTAAATTGTACTAACTTGTGATACACTTGCAGGACGCGACAATAACAAAGAATTTGATTGGTGCAGGTGCATACGTAACCGTGATTTTTCAAATTGCTTTGAGATTTCACTAGCACAATCATGGCAGTGTAGTTGGAACGTAAAAATTCTCTATGCAGAGTATTTCAATAGTTTCGTGAACGCCTATGTATGGAGACACATACTATGTATTCATTCCTAACCACAGAAAGGGTTAGGATCAAGAGTGATTAAGATTGAATATATATAATTACTCTTTTAAATAATGCTCACTATTCTAATTCGCAGACGTATTTGATAAAATAAATACAAATCTACGTGCTATTAATTGTAATCTTTACCTGACAACTTCTAGATGATGCTTCCTCTTGCTGCTTCTTCCCGCGTAGAACGAACGCTCTTATGTTGCACCTAACTACAGATCAATATCGATTATAATCGAGAATTGCAACAAGTGTATTGTGTATTCACCGTTTGGTGAAAATTGGCGCTGTAATCTTCAAAATCATTACGCGCGCATTTTGTATGAAGATATATTGTCTAACTTGGAACAAAAAATGTAGTTTTCTTTTTTTTTATCGACTCGTTTTAATTAATGAATGCGTCTCGTCTATCGGAGGATAAATGATATCTTAACTAAATTTTGGGGACTGAGATTATTTTATTAAAGATTCCAAGCAAATGATATTGATCTCAAAAATCTTCCTATTTGAAAATTGATGTCAGAATGAAAGTATCAAAAGTTATTTGAATTTCATACATGTTGATTTAAAGCAGTAGAATGTGTGGGAGAGATAAGAAATAAGGAAATAAATTGTCTATGCTAGTACAGCGTTGAAGTAATCTGAAATCTAAATGTTCGCAGTAAGCAAGTTCTTGACTAACGTGATCAATTTCAGAGCTTACAATTAGATTTATTGGTCCAGAATGATTATTATCAAGATGTTCTAGAAACTTGAGGAAAACACAAGATAATGTATCAACATGTACAAACAATGCGCAAACGTAAACTGGTCAGAAGTTGAAGACACTTTTCAAATTTTCAAATTTCCAAAGTCTCAAATTTTCGAATTTTCGAATCTTTAAAGATTCTATAATTGTATAAATTCGTTGATGCATAAAACCACAGTTCGTTGCTTTTTCGACAGATACATCCGCAGGAGTTTCCCTCTGTAAAAGTTATCGTTTTCATAATTCATCTCGTTCAAAGAGGGGATTCACACTAGGGGTTGACCGACCAATGAAAATATGTCCCTGTTATGAGAGGATCAACAAGGATTAGGTAGAAGATTTAGGATTGTCTCGTGCCTACTATTCGCTAAACTCTAATCCGAAAAATATGATTATCTCTCTACCGAACGCGCCTTAGTACACTAACACTCTATAACATATTTTTAAGATTTACTTTATAACATAATACAATCATACCTAACAATCACTACTATAAATTCTTTGAATAATGACTTTAGTTATATCACAAATATTATATTACAATAATATCACAAATTGTTCGATTATATTTTGCTAAAAAAATATTTTAAGTAAAATTAATCTGTAGTCAATTAATTTCAAAATGCAAAATATTCATTTATACAAATAAAAAGGAACATGTACATATGAAATAAATAAACGTGCAATATTGTCATTACGAAATTTTCTATCTGTATCATAAAACTACATATCACAATCGGTATCATAAGCTACGAGATAAATATCAATTAAACCGTAAATAACATGACAGAATTGCGTTATTTTGTTATCAGTTTATCTGCAAACACATTTTTCAACGTTTGTCGTGGCAAACTTTCCATATGCCGCGTTAATCCAGACGGCTAAGAATTACTCGGATTCAAATACGGCGAAATGCAAGGAAAGATACGTTTTCGCTACATAGCTTCACCATTAGTTTACGGTTCCCAAGGGTAAACGAAGGGTTGCGCATCGCGCTTATAAGGGCCTGTAACGGGGAGTTGGCCAATGTCGCGTACTTCGGAGGGTGGCGAGTTATAATTGCTATACGTTAACCAAGGTAGACAGGTGGGGAAACGACTTCGTATGAAACATGCTTGATACCTTTCGTAGGCTCGGCTAGATTATAATAATTGATAGCACTTTATATTTCGAAATATGATCTTCACAAAGAAATATATATAAGTGACTGTACACTAAAATTTATTTGATACACTTGAGATACTAAACGACGAGAAAAAATATTTGAAAATATTAAGCTTTTCATATAGATATTCAATAATTTAAGAAACTATTAAACATAAGAATGAATTTCTTTACAATCGTAAATCAATTATATTTTTAGATTTAAATATTGTGTATGAACATTACGTTCCCCTTACACATAACTTTTCTAAATAAGAAAAAGATTGATTCACAATATTTTTAATAAAATCTGAATGAATATTCCGTAATATTGCAAGAAATTATTTTTTCTAAATAATGTTAAATTGAAGAAGTTGCAATAGTAAGTGTAATTAACATAGATTGTTTAATTTTTCAATAATACATATATATGTACATATATGTATAGGATATTCAATCAGTCACACTTTCTTTTTTCACACTCTTCCTTTTTTAACATTATTTTCATTCTTTTATTGTTTCTAAATTGAAAATATTTAGATAATAGTATTTTATTCGTACAAAAATAAAATAATGTGGGGCATATTATCAATTTACAACAATAAATTAAGTATTTAAATTAACTTTATTATAGTTTGTATAAAACTGTTCCAATCGATTCAACCATTCTTCCCAAGCTGTTTGTAAAGCATCATCCTTCAATTCATGGATAGTTGCAAATTCACCTTTTGTATAAGCAACAATAATCAAACCTCTATTTACCTGTTGGCGCAATTATATATATAACTTATATAAAGGTAATTAAATATTTTTCAACACTACTTCTAAAGGGTAGTTACCTTAAATGAGTATTTGTTAAAAGAATTTATAGCTCCAATGTAAGCAGCAATTTCTATTGGGGTATTAAAACTTGTTGCAAGTGATGTTTTTTGTTGTGCTGACTTTTTCCAACCAATTACATATGTGTGATCCCTAAATAATTACAGAAGTGTACAGTACTATAATGGTAAACCTCTAATAATTTGTATTTCCCTATTATAACAAAGCCAATCTCTGTTATACCTGTAAGAAGCAATACAGTCTATAATGCCTTTATATTGCAATGCTGGATGTATCACATCTACTCCAAGCGCATGAATATTTTGTATATTACGTAATACTGGATATGCACTCAAATATGCTGATTTGATAGAAAGTGGAATTTCAGTTTCTTTACACGACAACACATTTTGCATACAAGAGTGAAATAATTTATTATCGTTTAATATACCTAAAAATGCACAATCGTTATTATCTATTTTTATTTCTAGCATATAAATGTTATACCTTTACAATATGTCTTAAAATATTCTTCTCCGTATGTATCAATCATATTTTTCTTCCATGTGTCTAAGGCAGCTTTTACTTTAGGAGGCATGGTTTCATTGAGAATGTACGTTACATCTGGAATTTTGGAATTTTCACTACTTTCTAAACATTGCATCTCATAATTTTCTGTTATTCCATCGCCGAAAATAGAAAATGATTTTATGTTTCTCATGACTTTAATCTTATTTACAACTTCTAATTTATTTACAGCTTCGTTATTTTGGGTTTGTTTATACACATTGTCAATACTATTATTGGATACAGATGCCTGGTTTAACTCTGTCTCAAAATTTGTAGCATTCTGCAGTTTAGAAATCTCCTGTGTTTCTACTGTTCCATTATTCACCTTTGAATTATTTGTGTATTCCTTTAAAACTTTGTTTTCCTTAATATTTAATTTTAAAAGTGCTCTACCTGCACTTTCTGCAATCTTTAACCGAAACATATTCATAAAATTATAAAGTAGAGATCAAAATATTATTCTATTAAGTAAGTAAGAAATATATAATCTTATAATCCAATTACATTACTGGAAAACATTTTATACACTATCGCTATCATTTTTTTCTGATATTCATCATTTTCAATTTTATAACCAATAAGTGATGTTCAATGATCAACATAACATTTTAGTACTATTTCTACTGACTTATAGTGCCATCTATTCATCATTGTCGTATTTATCTAGTGAATATTCTGTTCTGTCGATAACGAAGTTTTTACTAGAAATTACCTATAGTGTTTGTGTCACTATACGTATTTTATTATTAATAAAAATTTATTTTATCTTTTATATTTTCAAATTTTCCTTATAAATATTTTCCTGATGTCAACACAATGAAGACACATTCATCTCATATTAATTTACAGATAATATAACATGAAACAGGTTGATTGTGGAAACATTTCTCTCTTTCACATTTCTTACTGTGATTATCATATAAAATATATCATATAAAATATATTGAAATCTGTAGTCAAATAAGGTTAAGCGAAATTTATTAAAAATATATACACTCGTAAATTTATTAGAATCTGGATGCTATAATTTTAAATTATTTTCGAATGGGCGATCCGTGTACTTTAGGAAGAAGAACGATCGTTGAACTCCAATGGCCACACATCACGGCCAATGAACGTAAAACGTGGCCGTAATTTATCAGGCTTTACACGGTTCGGTTCGTTTTAGCTCACGGTTGCAATTTCGGAGTTAGCCGCTTATCAAGTTACCGGGTATCAATCTAATGATGTGGAGTGCAACCCTCTTCGTTGATATTACACAATAACCTGGTTCACGATCTCTGATACCTTTCGAAACTGACCATTTAATAACATCTACTCGTTTAAATCTATAAGAAATTGTTTCAGCTTTTCCTGATTACATAATCGTAATGGTGTAATTACTTTTACACCGAAACAAGACGGAGAAAATCCTGATTAAATTGATTTAGAAAATCCTGATTAAATTAACTTAGCTTTTTTAGATTCCTATCGAGCGCTAATCTTGGATCATACGATATAAAATCGGTGATATGTATCGGGTCAAACTATTAATCAATCAGAAATATATAATAGTAAAAATACATATATAAATAGGTATATAATGAAAATTATACGTGACCGAGCACAGGGAGGAAGTGCAAGCATAGAATACTAACATGAAAATTTGCGTTCGCATTTTTACGTAACAATGCAACCGAAAACCGTTGTAACAGTGAAAGTTAGACAAGATGAAATTCGAGACGCACGGAAAATATAAGCTAACGCCAGATTAACGCATCTTGTTATGTCAATTGCGTCGTATGAAGGAAAAATCGTCGTGTGAAGTTGCGTCGTGAAAGAAGCTCATCCATTTTCGAAGAATCCTATATCCGATTCTTAGGTTAATCACAAATATAATATCATACGATATTTTCCTCTACAGACGAGTTATGAGAAATCATATTTTTATTTTTCACAAGAGAGCAAATTGCCCCACACTCCTCATAATTTGAAAATATTACAATATCGAAGATAAATAGCAGGTGACTTGAAAAAAAAAAATAATCGATCTAATACTAGTCGATCAGTTTAATTCAAAATTTACGCGCGCAAGGAAACCATATAATAACTTGCACTCTTTCAAAATTTGTTGGAAACGATTTCGAAACCAGAAAGAGCAACAAATCTATGCCTTTCGTTTATGAATAGTGATTTAATTATGATATCTATTTGCTAATCTTCACAATTTATCTATTTTTTTTCCAACTGAGTTAACGGCACCGTCTAATGTCATCGCAATGGTCTCTCATTGAAAACATTTCGTGACAAGATAGCAGCGGTGAAATAACGCGTTAGAAAGGTGCGTAAATATACGTACACACAAGGGTGATTAAACTTTGCTGGGATGCGATACCACAAGGAAAAGACTCCGGCAGTATAAAAGGGGCTGCATTCTGTCTAGACTGCATCAGTTTCAATTGCAAATCGACCATTGCTGCACATAATACTAGCAACTAGCAACATGAAATTCTTCGTAAGTAATATTAAACCTCTATTATATTCTAATTAATATTTACATACAATCTTAACAAACCAGGATCTAATACTTTGTACAAACATCTTGAATGTAAATGAAATATTTAATTAATTAAAATGAGAATATGTTATACCATCGAATAATCGTAGTAAGGAAAAATTTACTTCTTTTTCTAGAAAAAGATGTTTAATAAAATCTGTCTATCGTACAATGTATGTATATTTAAGGCGTTATACGTTATTTTCAGGTGGTTCTTATTATTATCGTTTTAATATCTCCCTTATATGCCCAATCTGAAGAAAAAGATATCGAGAAGAGAGGCATTTATGGTTTGGGAGGGGCTTATGGTAACTATCCATTAATTTAATTTTTATATATTTTATATTATATAATTGAATTATTGAATGCTGTCACATACCAGTATAACATGGATTAAAATTTTACTTTTTTAATTACAGGATTAAGCAGTATATCGTACAGAGTTCCAGTAGTCCACACTTTACCTATTATCAGTGGATATAGAGGATATGGCCTTGGAAGTTATGGATACGGTCTTGGATATGGAGGATACGGGAATTATTTTGGATGGTGAAAAATAAAAACAATATTATAATATACTTTAACAATGCAGCTTTACTTTGTGGTATTATACTTTTTTATATATTTAATAACAAAAGGAGCTTTTATATTGATGTTCAAAATAAATTTTTAATATCTTCTTAACTAGTGTTATTATTATTTCCCTATTGTGCCCCATTAAAAATAGTTATTGTTAAATAAAAATTTAAATATAAATCTTAATTTATTTGGATGAGATTAATAATCTTGAAATTAAAATTATTTTTAATCATTTTTCATAGATAGTCAATGGGTTCGTGTCTAAGATAAAGATAATATAGAAATAGATTTTATCTATATTTTGGTGACATTGAAGTCCGATATTTCGTCGCCAGGTGAAGTTGTGAAAATGTAAAGTCGCAGTTGTACATTTGTTGCCGGTTTACATTTATTTAATTATCAATTAAAAGTTAAAACAATCATGAGTTTTTTATTAAGAAACGTAGTGAGCGCAGCTAGATCTTCTTTTACAAGATCCATTGAAGGTATAGCTAGTGTATCGTTATCACCTAACCTCTAACTCAACCTATCCAAATAGAAAAATCATTAATTTTATGTACGAACACAGTTTTTTGATAAGAGATATATTTGTTTCGTAGCAAGCAAACCGCAGTTAACTAGATTATGTGCAAACCCTGACACTCAAGGTATTTAACTTTCTTTTGTATTTAACAGACTTCTAAATATTATAAGATTATGATTGAAAAAAGTTAATTAAAAAATTACTTGTTATTCCTATTTTTGAACAGGAAATGTGCTAAGTACTACTAACTCACATATTGGAAATCTAATACAAGGTAAGCTACTCAAAACAAATATTAAATGTATACTATATCAATAAGATAACAATTAGTATCTTAAGAATTTTAATTTTCCTTCTCACATAAGAAATTACTATTAATAATTATTAAAAAAAGATAGCAGAGAATAGAACCTCAAGTCCTCCCAGGGAAGAATATTGTTGTATTATCTCTACTTTTGTTTTCTTTTTTTTCTTTTAAGTTTTTTTGTTTCTTTATGTAGAATACTGTATTTTACATTTTTATAGTAACCCTAATTATTAATTTAAAATATCACAGAAAATTTCAATATAAAATATAACGTCGAACATTATAATTTTTAATGACTAATATTTTGCAAAAGAACATTACAATGTTTAGGATGATAAGCGTCTTAAAAAAATGAAAAGCATAAATACACCTGGCAGTATGAACATTTTATAATTCCCATATTATTACACAAACACTTTGCATTTCTTACATCGTCTGGAAAGCACACTTTACATTGAAAAATATGAATTTATGAGATATTAATTTTGTTGCGTACCAGAAATATTTAACAATTGCATTGAAAACTGGTGCAGATAATTGATTATGACTCAATGAATGAATTTTGATAGCGTCTTCCCTACGTTCGAAAGTTCATGATTATTTTGTAAAATTTCTATAGCATTCTATAATAGGGACATTATAAAAATATAAAACACAGTATTCTACATAAAAAAAAAAAGAAAGAAAACAAAAATAAAGATAATACGAAAGAAAGTTCTTCCGTGGGAGGATTCGAACCCTAAAACTTCCGTGTAATGAATACATTACACTACAGTTTCGCTACTACATCACTGTCCAATCTTAGGAAAAGAAGTATATATAGCTGTGGCAGAAGATTAAAACGTTAAATATCTGTAAATAATGAGCGTCGACGGAAATTCTTGGACATATTCAAATTATTTTTACATTAGAATCAACAGACCAAATTTCATTAAAATCGACGACCCAACAGCTGTGATCTCTCCTTTGAGTACAGTGAAATATCTCGGAATGGGTTGAAGCTACAAGAAAAATGTTTATACAAAAGCTGTTCAGTATAAAAAGCTGGTTTTCAATACGAATCCAATGACCTACAATGTTGTACCATTCCTTCCAGTTAGTCCTAAATTAGGAACGATGAATTTCGCAACAGTCGGAGGCGGACGGTATTGCAAGTCGGTTGCCTCCATCTTGGTTGACGCGTTATTCTGATTTCATCCGGTGCCAAATCGTTGTTCTGAAGGCTCAATTTCAGTTTCGGTGAATGGATTGATAACACATTGTTGTTGCTAAATCAAATATTAAAAATCTGAGACTTTTCTTAATGCCATTATTGATCGATTTTTATTTTCATTACCCATTATTAATATTTTATTCGTCTGTGGAATAATGTTACATCTACGTCGAAAATTATTGAATTAAATGTGAACGATTTCTTACTTGCATAGCTATTCTTAAGAAAACGAACAATTTAATTTTGTAATATAATTATTTTCTACATATTATATGTCACAGACTTATAAATTGGCATTTAATATATCTCAACAATAATTATAAGTTAAAAACCAACCGTACAAACGTAATTTCACTTTGTAAAAAATATAAACATTACAGTATTTATTTCGTCTTGAATTAATGAAGGCTATGAAACGAGAAAACTGTAAAATTACTCATCGCTGAATAGAAAAAGTGTTTTTGGAAGCGTTGACAAAGATTACCATCTGTGCATCACTGACTTTACCTGAAGGTTGAGCAGGACAAAAATCATTATAAGTTGAACCTTCATCGTGTGTACATCAATTGAATTTTCGAAATAAATTTTTAAATAATATTTCACAATATTCCAATTGTTTAAACATTATCTAATATTTCTAACAATTTACTTGCAACAATTACACAATAATATTCTGGAGCGACGATCACTGCTTAACTCAATTTTTGACTACATAAGTTTTCTATACATAAATTTCTATTTAATATACATCAATACACTTATAACTTAAAAATTAATATCATGAAAGTGTAAATTTACTTTTAGCTAGTTATAGATCAAAAAATTAATAAATTAAAAAATTAATAAATAAATTAATAAAAACATTTGACATTGTAACATATTTATGAAAGTATAACCTTGCGATAGAAATCTAAAAACTTTAGTAGAATTGATTAGTAGAATAGAAAATCTGTTTCGAAATACTAAAGAAAAATTATCAACAGTTCCGGGTCACTGACGATCGGAACATTAGATTAACCTTCAGCGGTACGGAGACTCATTATCAATCGAACTTCCGTCGTGTGCACATCGATCAAAATTTAGGAATGAGTTTTTAAATAATATTTTTGAATATTCTACTTGTTTAAACATTATCTGATATTTAAAATAATTTATTTGTAACAATTAAACAATAAATTCTCTTCCGTAATGTTTCTAAGTGTTATTTAAAATTTTTAACTAATAATTTATAAGAATCTTGAACAATGTACTTAAGAGAAATGACTTTGACTTATTGAATGAAATGATTAACTTAATTGTTCAATCGTTTAATATAAAAGTAGTGAAAATTATCAAATAATGTCTAGAAATATTGTAGAAATAATTTAATTGTTTCAAATGAATTATTCAAACTGTAAAATAATGCATTTCGATGATATTTTTGTATATTAACAATTTTAACTATTTACTTATAACAATTGAATCACTGATTGAATTCCCAAGCATTATTTCATAGTTTCAATAATTTATTTGTAATAATTAAATTATTTTATTTACAATAACGGAAAAGATAGTTACATAATACATATATTTCTTGCTGTCTGAAACAATAAAAGAGCGAAAATTTTTATAAGTTGCGCTTATGTGTTATTTTGAAGCGACGATCACTGCTTAACTCGATTTTTGACTACATAACTTTTCTCTACATAAATTTCTATTTAATATATATCAGTGAGGTTATAACTTAAAAATTAATATCATGAAAGTGTAAATTTAGTTTTAGCCGATAAAAAACTAATAAATTATTACATTTAACATTGTCACATATTCAGGAAACTGTAACTTTGCGAAATAGAAATGTAAAAACTACTAAACTATTAATTAGTATAATAGAAAAATTGTCTTTCGAAATACTAAAAAAAATTATCAACTGTTCTGGATCACTGACGATCGAAATATATATTAACCTCGAGCGGTACGCAGACTCATTATCAATTAAACTTCTGTCGTGTGCACGTCGACCAAATTTTAGAAGTTTGAAAAAAAATTATCAACTATTCTGGATCACTAACGCCCAAAACATATGATTAACCTTCAGCGGTATGGAGGCTTATTATCAATTGAACTTTCGTCGTGTGCACATCGACTAAAATTTAGGAGTGAGTTTTAAATAATATTTCTGAATATTCTAATTGTTTAAACATTATCTAATATTTCTAATAATTTATTTGTAACAATTAAACAATAAATTCTCTTCTATAACATTTCTAAGTTCTATTTAAAATTTTCAATTAATCATTTGTAGTAATCGAGTCACTAATACATTACTAAGAAATTTTTTTTATCTGTATCGCATCATTAACCGAAAGATCAAATAAATATCAATCGATACGGAGACAAGAGCTCATTACGAATTAAACTTTTGTCGTGTGCACATCGACCAAATTTTAGATGTTGGAAAAAAATTATCAACTGTTCTGAATCACTGACGACCGAAATATATAATTAACCTTGAGCGGAGAAACATTAGCAATTAAACTTTCATTGTGTGCACATCGACCAAATTTTGGAAGTTTGAAAAAAATTATCAACTATTCTGGATCACTAACGACCTAAATATATAATTAACCTTCAGCGGTATGGAGGCTCATTATCAATTGAACTTTCGTCGTGTGCACATCGACTAAAATTTAGGAGTGAGTTTTAAATAATATTTCTGAATATTCTAATTGTTTAAACATTATCTAATATTTCTAATAATTTATTTGTAACAATTAAACAATAAATTCTCTTCTATAACATTTGTAGGTTCTATTTAAAATTTTCAATTAATCATTTGTAGTAATCGAGTCACTAATACATTACTAGGAAATTTGTTTTATCTGTATCGCATCATTAACGACCGAAAGATCAAATAAATATCAATCGATACGGAGACAAGAGCTCATTACGAATTAAACTTTTGTCTTGTGCACATCGACCAAATTTTAGATGTTGGAAAAAAATTATCAACTGTTCT